GCGGCTCCGGCCCCGCTCTGGCGTGGCGCCGGCGCCTGCAGCCCACGGGGATGCACACACAGCGCACGTCTGTCCGCCATTACGATGACGGCATTTTGGCGGCGTCCACTAAGAGCAAGTGAATCTCACGAGCGAAGCGTCTCCTCCACTTTCAATGACGCACACCAGCGAGGCGAATGCCAGGAACTTTAGACCCGCCCAGCAGATGCGCGACTGGCCTCACCCCGAGGCGCGTCCACCCAGCAGCCAGCCCCCCACCCCCATCCTCACGTGCCGACTACCTGGCCGCCCCCCGCCCCTGCCCACTTGCTCCTGCAGCCCACGCACCCCGAGGTCAGGCTGCGGGCCCCGACAAGCCAGCAGACTGGCTCTCGCCTCCTGGCCCCACTCAGTGAGCAGTGGCCCCTGGGCTCGGCGGTCGACGTCGCAGGACTGGCCCCCACACGGGATGGCCTCCACACGCCGGAGCAGGGTCAGGGCCGCCGGGTCGCGGGACTCCGCGGACAGCAGGGTCCAGGGCCGGCACCGGCGCCCCAGCGGGCCCGCGTGACAGCCCCGTGCCGAGCAGCTCCGGCGCGGGGCAGCGGGTGGACAGCTGAGTCCAGTCCCTCAGGGTGGACTCGGGCTCTGCCCTGTGGCCTGGCGCCCAGGCTGTCGGGAGCAGCGGCTCCCTGGGGGGCCACGCACCGGGGCTGCGGGACCAGAGCCATGCTCGGGGAGCTTGGGTGAGCTGGGCACGCCTGCCGGAGCTGCAGCCAGTGACACCCAGATGTCCAACTCCGAGGACGCGGCGCTGGACGGGGCCCTGGGGAGCGCCGCCGGGCTCGGGCTTGAGCTCGAGGCCCACACAGGCCGCCTCGGTCTGCGAGGACGCGCCGGGGGCCCGGCAGCACGGGACGTCCACGGCACGCCACAGGCAGAAGCGGGGGCCGGTGCCACCGCGACCGGCCTCCCCAGGAAGGCACCGAGGCGGGCGGCGGAGCCCACCAGGGCGAGCCCAAGGCCTATAAATCTCCCAGGAACAAATAAAAGATCCCCGAACGTCTCCACTCAGTTTTAAATTACAGCTGAGTGATGATTAAGCTATCTTATTAATTAAGCAGGAATTAATTACCGAATTATCTAAGTAGTTCTGAATTTGCGACTTAGGCATGGAGAGAAATCTCAAGCGGAGGCCTCCCCGTGAACGCCACCCAGACCTGGATGGGAGGGGCAGGGGCGTGAGAGCGGGCGCAAGGGGTGTGCGTGGCTGAAAGGGCACGGGGGGGGGGCCCACTGCCGGCGGCCCTGTGCGGCTCTACTCCGCGTCTGTGCCACGGACTTCTGGGTCGGGGGGGGGCCAGAGGCGCACGCGTGAAGGGCGAGGGGTCTGCTTCTTGGCAGCGTGAAGGATTCCAGGCCGGTGAGCACAGGCCGTGGCACCCACACGCCGTGGCAGCCGCCCGCGCTGCAGCTGGGGCACACGAGCACAGCTGGCAGCCCGAGGCGACAGGCCACGCGCAGCCGCTGGAGAGCCGCCGACCTGCCCTGCGCAGCGCTGGGCCCGTGCTGGGCAGTGGGCGGCCACGGGGAGGGCAGAGGAGCCTGAGAGGGCGGGGCGTGGCTCACGGGCCGGGGCACAGGGCAGATAGGGCAGGTGCCCAAGGGCAGGGCAGGTCCAACAGGCGGCGGGGACGGGTGGGTGCGGGACATGCGGGCCGTGCCGGGCGCTGGGGCAAGCGGTCGCCAGCTGGGAGGGCGGAGCGAGGGCCGTGGCGGAGGCCTGGCTACGACTCAAAGCCGCACTGGTGCCTGGTCTGGAGACTCGACCTACACCCGCTGCTGCTCAGCCTCACACCTGGCGAAAGCCCCGGCAGGTGCAGGACTCCAGGCCAGGGTGCTGGCTCGACGGGGCGAACCACGGGAAGGGGCGCTCGTGGGAGCCGAGCAGGGCCGGGCCCGCACCCGGGCAGACGGGACGCGGCACCCGCTTCCTGGCGGGCGCTGAACGGGAGCCAGGGCTCCGGCGGCCACGCTCAGAGGCTCCACTGCCAGCCAGGCCCGCGGGG